TTTCAATAATTCAACACTTTTAGTCATTTCAATTAATTTTCCATTAAAACTAACTAAATCGAACGTGTGCCCATCGCTATCATAACTGATGGACTAACGGTAAATTGACGAAAAGTAAAAAATGACCATAAGTATCAAATTATTGAAACATAACTGACCAAATATGTTTTTTGTGAATATGGGGACCAAATGTGAAATAGTTACAGACTTCAGGGATGAAAACTAAAAAAACTGTAAATTTCCCTAAAAAATTTAAAGAATTCATTTTCTTAAAGACACAATTTAGTTTTTTAATATATATTTTTAATTGCAATTACACAAGACTGACAGGGTTGTTATATTTTACCTAGCCTTTACCAATAGGGTAATGGTCTAGGGTTCGAGTCCCCCCTCCCCTACTTCCCCTTGTAATGGACTTGAATTTACTCAAAAAAAAAAGACTGACAGGTGACAGCAATACGACGTCGTATGTAGCTAGAAAAAAAAAAGATTGAAAAAAGAGAGGAGAAAATGATAAACTTACAGTGAAACAAAGCCATTTATTTTTCTTCAAAAGGAAACCCAAAAAGAAGAATAATAATAATAAATAGAGAGAAAAAAAATAGAATAATTGTGGGCGGTGGTGGTGGGGGTGTGGGGGCGGAGCGACTGGAATTTTGTTGTGATAGGGTGGTGGGCCTGGTGGCTGAGTGGTGGTGGCGGTGGCGGTGGCGGTGGTGGTGGGACTCTAAACAAAGCCAAAGGCCCAAAGCTGACTAAAGGGCCCAAGTGTCATAATCTTTCATCTTTCTCAACTACGTGGCATCCATTTATTTTTGCTTTCTTTTTTTGTCTTTTACTAGTCAAATCGAATTATTCGATATTTAATTAATTCAAAAATTTAATTACTTCGAAATTATTCGTTTATTCTCGTTCGAGCTCGATTTGTTAACGGGATGAATTTGGTTCGAAGATAAAAATTTTGTTGGATAAATTACGGACATAATCACCTTCGAAATTAGTGTGTATGTTTGATTCGAGCTCGATTTTTTGATTTAATTTTTTTTTAATATGTATACATTAAAAAATAGAATAAATAACAATATTCTCAAATGTGGGCTTTTTAGTCATTTCCGTTTAGTGGGCTTGTGGAGTGATAAATAATCAACCAATTTGAAAATTAAATGGAGGCCCATTTATCTTTAATCATACAATCAAAACATTTGAGCACGTGTGATTATTAGTCTCATCAATCTTTATAAAAGAAGCCTAATTAGAGTGAGATTAGACAAATGATGTGATATGAGCAAAATGATATACTAAAATGTTAAATGTCGTCTCAATTTTACTAATATCGTTATAGTTACGATTGTGTTTTTGACTATTTTCTGGTCTGGTTTTGGAAATACCTAATACATGAAGACTGTAGTGTTGTGAATTAACCTACTAATGCAACTTGAATCAGTTAAGTTAAGTTGGATGTCGGATGACAAACTTATACATAATTGAGTTATATTTTGAATTTTAGATAACTCAAAACATCAAAGCTATAGGCAATGTTCATTCATTCACGCATATCGTTCTAATCGACATCTAATCTTGGCGATTCGAGTTGTATTATAAAATCAGCTCGGAGAACTACAAAATTAGTGGTTTGAGTTGTGTCACCTTCAACATTAAAAGTAATTAAAATTACATGAGGTCGAAACGGTATTATTAACACTGAAATGACATTTATCACGTCCCAATACTATATGTAAAATTAACTATTTGTATAATTTCACCTATAATATGTAAATCAAATGATAGTTTGGGTTTAACTTTTTTTACATTATATACATAAAACATGCTGTTATTAGATATTTATAAGTATCTTTATTTATTTTATTTTTTATTTGAACCATTTTGTATACAACCACTTGCTACAATAAGTGTTATTCCTAGGATTTAGTTTTAGACCAAAACATAAAAGCTTTAGCTAAGATTCTCTAACTTAATTTTTTATTTAATTATAATTCAAATTTATCATACAAACATATTTCCTCTTTTGACTCCAAAAGTGTCCCACTTGCAAAAAAAGTTCAACTTTAGATAATGGGGTTCTCTTAACATCCCCACATTTCAATAATTAATAAGTTAGGTACAAGATTCTCGAATTGAGTCCCGACATTCAGTACGATGAAAATTTCAACTTCAATAAGAATTAGTTCCTTATGAATAGCAGATTCAGATTCAATTCCATAACAACCATTGAATTATCATGATTTATATTCTTCCATCAAAACATGTCGAAACTCGGAGATGGGCCCGCAAGAAATATAAAATCAAGATTCAGACTTCTATATCGTATTTATCTATTTGGATTCCCTATTAAGAAAGTATATTCTATGATAACTGATGACAACTAACACATTGGATTTTGTCTCTTGAAAAAGAAAACAAAAAAAAAAAAGAATATCTTAAAAAACAGCCCATCTCACAACTTGGAATCTTCTTTCGCAGTAATCCATTTTTATTTATATTTGGTCAAATTTCAAGCTCCGAATGTCACGCTCAAACGTATATCTTAACGGAATTAATTAATTAATTAACTTATATAAATTAATAGGAATTTATGATTATTGATTACTCAAATCTCTAAAAAGATCCACAAATCAATACTCTTCTAATTCCTCACAAACACTATCCCAAATACCTAACTAATCTGCCGATTTTGGTTTTCTTGATAATCATATCAAAATCTTCAAAAGAGTTTTGCTGTGAGAGAGACTCTTGATGAGGAACGCTTTTTAATACATAACGCTTTTACTTTTCTCTGCTCTTTGATAAGTCTATTTTTTCTGCATTCATTGATTCCCACACTCTGTGTGTGTGTATATATATATACGTGTGAATGTGTGCCTGTATCTATCAAGAATCTGGCTGTGAATCTTCTTGAATTCATACTTTGGAGTCAACTCTAACTCATTTCAGCCAAAACCCAAAAGGTAAACCCAAACCCAAATCCTTCTTTGTTCTTTCTATAAGGGCTTATCATTTTTTTTTTGGGTTTCTTCAGTCATCTTACAGTGAAAAAATGTATGCTTAAGTGCTGTTTTTTTTTTTTAAAGATTGGATTTTTATTGTTAAAGATTGGATTTTTATTGTGAAAATTGCATTTATTTCACGTGTTATCTCTTTCCTGTGTGCTTTTCAAGGATTTGTGGATTTGAATTCATATATTATTTCAAGGGGGTTTACTTTTATTTTCTATGTTTAAGCATTTTTACTCACTGTTTTCCACTTTTATAAGCTATTATTGACTCTAGGGTCTATAAAGATTGGATTTTTATTGTGAAAAATTGCATTATTTAATATATTGTCTCTTTCTTTATGCTTTTCAAGAATTTGCGGATTTGCATTCATATATTATTTCAAGAGGGTTGCTTTTTTTTTTTTTGGAATGTTTAAGTATTTTACTCATTGTTTTCCACTTTTGTAAGCTATTAGTGACTATAGGGTCCTTCAAGATTGGATTTTTATTATGAAACTTGCAATATTTATTATATTATCTCTTTCTTTGTGCTTTTCAAGAACTTGTGGATTTGCATTCATATATTAATTCAAGAGGGCTGACTTTTTTCTTTTTCTATGTTCATTTTTACACATTGTTTTCCATTTCTCTGAGTTATTATTGACTGTAGGGTCCCTAAAGATTGGATTTTTATTATGAAAATTGCATATTATTTAATATATTATCTCTTTCTATATGAATCTGTAGTTATATGCATTTAATGCTTATATTTTGATTTGATTTTTTTCTGTGCTGTGCTAATTGTTGAATTATATTCCAATTTCAGTGAGGATCAACCATGGATAAGGATTCAGTTGTTGCTCCCTCAAGTCCCACTAAGCTTGAGGTTCGTGTTCGTCGTTTTTCGACCGTCTTACTTTGTTTTTGCCTGCATATAATTTATTTATTTATTTTTTTAATTTTGTTTTGTTGGATCAAAATTTCAGGGAAAGTTTAAGGCAATTCTTGTTTGTTGGTTTCTCGGACTTGGATCTCTTGTCTCATGGAATAGTATGCTCACAATCGCAGATTATTACTATAACTTGTTCCCGGTAAGCATATTCGTATCCATTTCTTAAAATTCTCTCTCTCTCCTTTTCCCTTACTTGAATTAATTTGTTATTTTCGGTTCTTGATTTCGAATTGTCTCAAAAAAGTTGTTATAGCTTTATGGTATTGGATTTAGTCATTTAGGGGTTGAATTATGCAGAAATTTTCGATTTTTGAGCTTGAAATATCGGCGATTTCTTGGAATATATAGAACTTCAAAGTATATAATCGTAATTTTTTTTTTTCGGATTTATTTATTTATTTTTTATATGCAGGAGTACCATCCTGCTAGGGTACTTACCCTTGTTTATCAACCATTTGCACTTGGAACAATGTTAGTACTCGCCTATCGCGAGGCAAATATCGATACAAGGAAGCGAAACATTTTCGGTTATACCCTTTTCTGCATAAGCACGTTTGCACTTCTACTAGTAAGTTGTGCTCAGAGCCATTTTTTTTCGATTAATTTTTATCGAAAGTATTTTTTTTTTTCTAATAATATATTTGCTCCACCAGATAGATCTATGCACCTCGGGGAAGGGCGGGCTCGGTAATTTTCTTGCTATTTGTGTTTTCGTCGGTGCTTTTGGAGTTGCGGATGCCCATGTTCAAGGTGGATTAGTCGGAGATTTATCTCACATGTGCCCCGAATTTATCCAGGTAAAAATAAATAAATAAATAAAAATAAAAATCTTTTTTTTTAGTTACTATTGATTCATTTTATATTTACGTACTTGCCACTCTGCAGTCATTCTTTGCTGGTATGGCTGCTTCGGGAGTTCTAACTTCTGGCCTGAGGCTTGTTACTAAAGCAGCTTTCGATAAAACTAATCACGGGCTTCGTAAAGGAGTCAGTAAGTATAAAATTAAAAAAAAAAAGCAATTCTTTTTATTTACTTTTTTCAGAAAATAACATTTTTTTATTTTTATTTTGCAGTATTGTTTCTGGCTATATCGACATTCTTTGAATTTCTATGTATATTCCTATACGCATACGTATTCGGGAAACTACCTATTGTGAAGCACTTTCGTAAGAAGGCATCTTCGGAAGGTTCTAAAACAGTTTCAGCCGATCTTGCTGCCGCCGGAATCGAAACCTCAGACAATCAAACGGTGAAAAAAGAAAAATTACAACCTTTTTCGCTATTTCCGAACTTTTATTGACCTTTTTTTTTCGTTATTACTTCAGGTCAATGATGTTAAATTCATCCGGTTAAGCACAAAGAAGTTGTTAAAGCAAAACATTGACTATGCATTGGACCTTTACTTGATATACGTACTCACACTCTCGATTTTTCCGGGTTTCTTATACGAAAATACGGGCAACCACCAACTCGGATCTTGGTAGGCCCCACTTCAATTATTTATTTATTTATTAAATATTTTTTTTATTGGTATTGAATTTATTTATTTTTGGAAATATGTGTAGGTATGCGGTTGTGCTAATAGCAATGTACAATGTGGGGGATCTTATAGGGAGATATATTCCTCTAATCGATTTTATTAGATTGGAATCAAGAAAGGGTCTCGTAATTGCAGTTTTGTCCCGTTTTTTGATGATTCCTTGTTTTTATTTTACGGCTAAATACGGCGATCAAGGTTATATGATTTTTCTCGTTACGTTTTTGGGGATAACAAACGGTTATCTCACTGTTTGTGTACTCACCGTTGCTCCAAGAGGGTACAAGGTGAGCTAGAATATTCCGATTTTAATTTTTAATTTTAATTTTTAATTTTTTAGATTATAATATTGACGTTTTTTTTTTTTTTTAAATTAATTGGCAGGCACCGGAGCAGAATGCGTTGGGTAATGTGCTAGTAGTGTTTCTTCTCGGTGGTATATTTTCGGGTGTCGCTCTCGATTGGCTGTGGCTCATTGGCCATGAGTCGTTTTAAGAAACGGGGTTTTTGTTTTTAGGGTTCTTGATTTTACAGTCTTTTTTATTTTTTAAATACATTTTGGGTAAATTTTAATTTATTTGTATATATAATGAAACAGTTAATTTGTCCTTCCAAGTGGTGGATAATTATGTTTTATATTTGGTAATGCTGATTTTTATTTCTCCTTGATAAATCGAATTGAGTTTGTCGAACCGTTAGATCATTGGTTTTATTGTTTCGTTCCCGAATTCAAGCAGTTTGTCAAACGAATTAATCGGAATCCGACCCGTTAACCCGTTTCTGCTTAAGCCGGCCCAACCGAAACAAATAAGCCTATTTGCATACTTAGCTCGTCTGACTTCGGAACTCTCTCGAAACCGCGATGATCTGGACTGTCCACTTTGATCCTTTTGATCTTGTTCGTTCGTCTCACTTCTCACCCCTAATTCTCTTCAAATCTCTCTCTCCTCTCGTCGTACCATCGCATTAGGGGTGAATGCGAAAACACATAGTTCAGCACAACTGCTATTTTTTCATATGACCATTTAATATAAATCTCACAACACAGTTTGTAGGCATTTTACCAATTGAGGGTAGAACGGTAATTTTGACCTCTTGCATATATCACTAATAAATGTAATTAAAAAACAAAAAAACAAAAAAAAAAGTCGCCGGTTCGATTCTCAGCGTAACCAACTATGCAAATTATATAATTGAACATGCATGCATAATTTGTATATACATCATACACTACTTCTCATTGCTTTTTATTCAAAATAAATTATAATAAAATAAAATAATAAAATCACCAGACAACCTCAGACTGAACAAAACACATACAAGAAAAAAAAAACATTAAATAAAATGAACAAGAAACAGTTCTTGAAATCCCAAAATATCAGCAAAATCTGATACAAGAAATCAATACAAAGAATTAATGCTGCAGATTTAAATATTAAAGCCCAAAAAAGAAATGAATATGATCAGATCAAATATTCTTTTTCCAATAATCCATTTATTATACCACCCAAAAAAAATAAAAAAAATTGAGCCTTTATTATTTACTGCAATTTTCCTTCAGACATTCATTCAGTAACACACCACAAAGAGTGTGTCTCTGTGTGTGTGTATGTATACTGTGTGTACTTGCACATCCAGTGTGTGTATAATTCTATACGTACAGTGCGAGAGTGTATGTAGAGGTAAATTAAATTGAGGGTCAATAAATTATTTAATTGGCATCCGATTGAGTATAGGACTTTTTTTTTTTTTTTTTCTTTTTTTTTTTTCTCTATCTTTATATCTCGTTTCTCAATATACGCACACACAGAACACTCTTCTGAAACCCTAGAATTCAATTTGCATCGCTAAAAGGGGAAAATTTCGAAACTCATCTTTTGATTCAGGATTTTGGGGGAGAAATGCGGGGGAAGGATCCGCCGCCGGATGAGCTGCGGTGCAAGCGCACCGACGGCCGTCAATGGCGGTGCAAGCGGCAGGCAATGGAGGGGAAGACGCTCTGCGATATTCATCATCTACAAGGGAAACACCGTCAGAACAAGACGAAAGTTCCAGACTCCCTGAAGCTCGAGCGGAACGTGACGAAAAAGCGGGGGAACGTCAATGGGGGGGAGAGTAGCAGCCGTAGGGTTTCCAAATCGAAGGCGGCGAAAAAGCCGGTGGCGGCGGCGGTGGCGGAGAAGAGGCGGCGGAGGTGTGTTTCCGAGGCGCTGGACGAGGCTTTGAAGAGGATGAAGTTGAAGAGAGACGACCTGCATTTGGATTTGATCAGGGTTTTCCTGAAGAGGCAGGTGGAGAAGAAGAAGGAGAAAGAGTTGAAGGAAACAACACCAATTGGCGATGAAACAAGAGAATTGCCATGTGGAATTATGGCTATTTCTCAAGCACATTCCAGTTTGCAAAAATTTCCAGAAAACGACGGTTTGAATGTTAAAGTTGGGGTGGATTCATCGAATGGTTTTCTTCTGCAGAGGCATTTTCGGTCGAAAAATATCGAACCACTCCCAATTAGTACAATGCAGGTTGTTTTTCTCTCTTTTCCTGCAATTCTTTATTCCGTGTACACACACTAAGCTGCAGTCCTCGAGTTACATACACGTATCTGATTTTGTTTCGAACTAGGTCGTTCCGTTTGCTGACAATGTGAAGAAAAAGATGATAAAGCGATGCCACTGGTGTAGGGATACTAAATACCGTTGCTTAATTAAGTGCCTGACTTGCAGGAAGCGCTTCTTTTGTGTGGACTGTATAAAAGAGAGGTACATTCTTATCCCTGCCTGTTCATAATTTCTGTTGATGTGCAACTGGATGTGTATATTCCTCACTTTGGATCCTCAAACGAAAATTCATTTGATTATCCGCTGTTATATTATGTGTTTTCATCTGCTGTTTTTTAGTAGACCTTTATTCTAAGTTTCAATTTCCGATTTTTTTACAACTCTTATTCTCAAGCGTGTAATTTGGTTTGAATTATGATATTAGGCCTGATCCGATTACTAAAACATTTGAATATGAGCATCACACCTAGATCTGGACGACGAGTTTCTGCTCTAGCACTATTGGAGTCTCAAGGAAAACTAGCACTTATAAAATCTGAATTTTTATTTAGGTACTTTGAGAAGCAAGAAGTGAAGAGCAAGTGCCCTGCCTGTCGTGGAACTTGTAGCTGTAACCTCTGCATAAAACAGCAAATGAGAGCTAACAATCATAAGGTTTGGCAAGGGGCTCGAATTTTAACTATAGAGTTAGAACTTAGAATATAAACAGGGGAAATTGATGACTTATGTTCTTTTTTTTTTTTTTCCTTTTCTTTTTGGGAACTTTTTCTTACAGGAATGTCATAGAGGTGGAAGGAAACTGGATAGGAAACAATTGCTTCACTATCTAATCTACATGCTTCTTCCTGTGTTGAAAAAAGTGAACCGTGATCAGAACGATGAGCTTGAAACAGAATCTAAGGTAACAGGTATGAGAATACTTGAGCTCATCCTGCAACTGAGGCTCGTTTCTTTGTTTTCGTGATTACTCATATATTCTCAATTTTCACTTCAAATAGGAAAAGAACGATCTAAAATCCAGATTCCACAACCTAAATTAGGCTTTCAAACATCGTGGTGCTGGTAAGTTTTTATATTTTTAATACCATTTGCCTATGTGCATAATGCAATGAGAAGAATTGCTGTGTGACTCTTTCCTGTGGTAATTTAAATTATGGAGCAGCAACAAATGCAGAAATTCAATTGTGGACTACCATAGGACTTGTACGGAGTGTTCGTATAATCTTTGTTTAAGCTGTTGTCGGGAGCTTTCTAGACATAGCTTGCATGGAAGTTTTCAGCTCAAAAGTTGCAGGAAAAGGAAAGTATGTTCATCTGGTGATGAGGCACTACATAAAAAGAATATTTTAAGGCAAAATTCTGGTGGGTTACCGTGCTTGTCCAATCTCTCCTTGCAAAAGTGGAAGATTAGTGAAGATGGCAGTATTCCTTGCCCACCAACAGATATCGGAGGTTGTGGTGATAGCTTTCTTGATTTAAGATGTATGTTTCCCTTAAATTGGACCCGAGATCTGGAAGTTAAAGCTGAAGAAATATTATGCAGCTATCACTTGCCCGAAACTGCAGATGTTTCTCCGTGCTGCTCATTGTGCAACACTATTGGTGCTAACAAAAGTAATGAATTTAAGCCACAGACAGAACTGTCTAGGAGAATAGGTTTTAATGACAACTATCTGTATTGTCCTACTCTAAAGGATCTTCATCAAGAAACCCTTGAGCATTTCCAGAGGCATTGGGGTAGGGGTCAGCCTGTTATAGTTCGAAATGTGCTTCGGAGTACCCCAGCGTTGTGTTGGGATCCTGTTGTTATGTTTTGTTCGTATTTGGAGAATAAGAACTCTGGATCTTGTAATGAAGATGGCAGCAAAGTAACAAACTGCTTGGATTGGTGTGAGGTCTGTATTTTACTCACTCACACAAACTCACACAAACACACACCAGTCTTTACGTACAAGTTTTTACTTAACAGTTTTATTAAGAACAAGTTTCCCATTCTGCAAATATGGTGTTAAATTATCAAATGCACCAATGTATTTCTATATCCAGACCATTTTTATCTGCCTGCATATTGTGCAGTATGTCAATACTCTTTTCTTTTTTGTTGTGCAGTATGTCAATACTCTTTTCTTCGTCCTCCTATAAATGCAAGCTACATGGTATTGCAGGTGGAAATTGATCGGAAGCGGATATTTATGGGGTCATTGGAAAAGAGAACACATGCAAGCATTAAGCGAAAAGTTCTAAAATTCAAAGCTTGGCTTTCTTCCAATTTATTCCAAAAGCAGTTTCCAGTCCACTATAATGAGGTCTCAAGTGCTTTACCCCTTCCAGAGTATGTAAATCCAGTATCAGGCCTTCTGAATATTAGAACGAAGTTGCCAAAGGATTTATCAAAGCCTGAAATAGGTCCATGTATCTATTTTTCATATGGAGGTCCGGAGGAACTCGTGCAAGCTGATTATTTGTCAAAACTTTGTTACGAGTCACATGATAAGGTAAGAGTTTGATAATTATTAGAATAGCCTTATATTGCATCATCAGTGTATGCATAAGTAGTCCTTTCCCACACAAGTTTATGGGATCTCCTTAGAACTGCATTTCATCATATGGTATTCTTTAAGGTCGGAAGATATGCATGTATCTTACTCCACTGGCTTTTTAACCTCAGGTTAATATCCTCGCTTATGCTACAGACACTCCAATTTCAACAGAAAATATTAATAAAGTCGAAAATTTAATGAAGAAGTACAAGGCTCGAAACAGTGCTCAGAAAGGCAAAACATCTTTTCACAGTGAAGACACTGGTGAATCAAGTTTGCAGGAGATTGAAGAACAGATGCACCTGCCCGATGGAATAGAAAATGTACCTTTTTACACCATTGATCCCCTTAAAGATCAAAAACTGACTGTTCAAAGTGGAAATTTGTCTGATGACAGTGAATCTGATGACGAGGCATCAATTCTTTGCTGCGGAAGTATTGAAAACTCTGAAGAGTCCGATGAGGATTTTCAAGCGGAAGACATAGAAAGCTCTTGTTCCAGTGAAGATAAGCAAGGGACTAATTCTTGTGGGGCCCAGTGGGACATTTTCCCTCGAGAAGATGTACCAAAACTTCTAGAATACCTCAAGAGACACTCTAGTGAGCTCAGCCCTGCATGCAGCTACTCGAAAAATGTACGGTAACATAATATGAAGTTTTTTATTACAAAACTGCAATATAAGAGTAACCATCAATTAACGTGTATCTTTAACAGGTTCATCCCATTCTTGATCAAAATATTTTCCTTGATGCTTATCACAAACTGAGACTTAAGGAGGAATTTGGTAAGTAGTGTTATAGGTTCGTTTATGTGTGCTCGATTTATCATACATGCTAAATGCATAGCTTGTTTCACTGCTTTCAGATATTCAGCCATGGACTTTTGAGCAATGTACTGGAGAAGCTATATTCATTCCTGCTGGATGTCCGTATCAAATCAGAAATGTTAAGGTAGCACTGCAATTCAGATGCTCTGACAATAGCTTCATTGCTATTCAAGCTGTATCTGTCATGTTTGAGTATGTTTATTCAGTGTGTTTTTTAAATGCTAAAATATTGATCGGTTATTTCTGACTATTTTAATATTCTCTATGAATTTTGCTATTGGAACTATTTTTTTCTGTAACTAGAAAGTGCAGCCTTCTAATAGTGTCTCTTTCACATTTTTTCAGTCATGTGTCAATGTTGTTTTGGACTTCATTTCACCTGAAAATGCTACTCAGTGCGTTCAGTTGAACGACGAAATTCGTCTTCTTCCTACGCGACACAAAGCTAAAGGGAAAGTGATGGAGGTAGGTGTTACACTTACACATTACCAGCAATTTTAACCCGTCATTTATGTGAAGAGCATAAACTTGAAAATTGACTTTTTTTAGGTGGAGAAAATGGCTCTTCACGGAATCAGTGCAGCAATTGAAGATATACGCAACCTCATGCATGTGGAACAAGTAATCCTCTAGCCTTGGTTTTTTTTTTTTTTTTTTTTTTTTTGTCGGTGATTATTACAAGAGAATATTCAATCTTCGAATGCTAGATCTTTTGCAATTAGATTATCTTCATCATTATATACCATGTGGCCTATGTAATCAAACAATCCCGGATTTATTTTCGACCATTTAATAAATTCACGTGATCTAGGGTTGATAAGGAAGTGATGAAAGCACTCACTATTAACAGAAACGAACTGCGCAGAATCTTGCTCCAGCTAGTTAACAAATGTACAGAGAACCGTAGTGGCATTCTTATTCCCCCGTAAGTTACTAAATCTTAGAGATCGAGAGTTGTCACACATACAAGCCAACCTTCATTTGATTCTTTCTTCCCCGGCTACTTCTTGTAGGTAAATAAATACATTGCAGCAAGATATACATTCCATCAAGACATGACATCTGCCTTTAAACGAGATGAATCTACACCTTCAGTAAAAGGTGAGTAAAACTTGTGCAATACGATTACAACTCAGCTTATGCTATTTTAGACTCGACTTTGAGACTCGATCAAGAGCATAGTGCTTTTTCACACATTGGACATGTACATTGTGGAATCATCAATTACTTTTTCTACACAAAGTTCATTCAGACTTGTTTTGAATATTGTTGTAAACTAGTACACTTTCTTCCTCGTCTGGTACTTCAATGAATAGTTAGCGCGCATTACTACTGCTAATGAGATATAAACACAGAGGCGGAAAAGATTGGGATTGATTTCGATTATGTTATTGTGTAAATGTGTAATTTGACTTTATTCGATTTTTTCTTGTAATGAATGGACTGGTATAATGATTGGCTGTAATATTCTTATTTATATAAATAGCTCAAGGTCATATGTGACTGATTTTTGGATAGATTTTTATTGGAATAAATTAGTAATTAGTTCGAAAAAATTTGAAGTTTTTCGGTTAATTTTGGAGTGTGAAAATTACTCTGTTCAATTACATTTCTTACAATAGTTACAAGTTGCAAGAAATAGGTAAAGTGGCATTCATACAAATAGCTGTGAAAATTAGACTCTGTTCAATTACATTTCTTACAATAGTTACAAGTTGCAAGAAATAGGTAAAGTGGTATTCATACAAATAACAATTGATCAATTCGATACAAATCAAAGCAACGGTATGATTCTTCACAAAAAAAATTGGTCTCCCCAAAAGTAGAAAAGCGAGTCAGAATCCAGAATGTTAACATTAGAATCGTAAATATAATGTACATTAATCCATGCCAAATGTGTACAATATACACAACCAAGAACGTAAGAAAACGACAAATTGCGATTATTGTTGGCTATGGGACTAGTAAGTGAGAATCCCGAGAGCTTATTCACTATTCAGTACCTCAATATCCTCGAGAGTGGGTACAACTTGGCTACCATTTTCCAGAACTAATGTAATCAATAATACAAAACAATATCATGTTCAAGAAAAAAAAAAAAAAAAAAGAAAAGAAACCCCACACAAGATAGCATGTCCTTAACAAAATTGTGAGAGCATGAGAGCCAGCTGAAGATGTCAATAAATTATATATGCAGATAAAACATGATTATGTAAACCGATATTCGATTTTAAGTCTACTACGTTGTCAAAAAATGCTGTGCATCAGTAATATCTGTAGTGTATGCATCAGTAATGTTAAAGACCCCATTCACGGTGCCATGAGCCCTTCGATTGTATAAGAAAGTGATTCTGCCCAGTCGGCTTTTAGGAGCAATGTCTGCAGTGTATGCATCACGTCGTAATCTGGATCGAGCTTCCTTTGCCAGCCCTAATACAAAAAAAGTTTAGATTACTTTTAGATTTCGACTTATCGACTTATATATAATGACAGCAATAAAACAACCCTCCACAAAAGATAATCCCTTAATAGCATCTTCTTGAACTCTTTCAAGAAAGCCAACAGAATACTAAGACGTCGTAATCATGTCGATCAACTTTCTCCCTTCAACTTCCATTATAGTAAAAAGAGACACGGTGCCAAATTGATTTTTTTATTATGTGGACGACAACAAAAGCGCATGACATGTTCAAAAACACGAAGAATAGTTTGAATTGGACGGAGTTTTGAGGAAAGAAAAGCTCAAAACAAGATTTACCTCAAGGACCAAAACTGTGACCATCACAGTGCAAACATTGCCATCAACGTTTACTCTGTGACGCCTGACTTGCTCGAGTAATTGCTGCATGCACTCAGCCGGATGAACCACATCTCCTTCTCTTGTACCCCAAAATTCAAACGACTCTTTCACTTCCTGTTAAATCAAGAATTCACCAAGATATAAATAGACAATTCATTGTATACATCAGAAACTATTTGTGTGAGTTACACCATAATAAATTAAAACTCTTCACTTTAAATCGTTAAAATCGACCTTAGGTTTGATGGAAGCTGGTTTTAAAAATCAGTTTTTTTCCGGATTTTGGTCAATAAATAAAGTTGCCTTGTTTTATAAATTTTTTTTGAGCTTCGGGACTCTGTAAATCTAAATGTGAGTTATTCACCTGAATGAAAGCCTCTGGCTTAGGGCAGTTCTGCTTCTTCGACAATCTAAGTGTGGACTCTGCTGCAGTTTGGCCATCCCTACGAGCCACAGCCTTAAAAAACTCCAGTAAATTAACACGATCGTTTCTAGAAAGTTCCGCGGTCATGCCCACATCAAGAAATATAACATGTGGCTTGGTTTTAAACAGCTTTTTGCCAGAAGGCTTGCTCCTAGCTACACGTACAAGGATGTTTCCAGGATGCATGTCCGCATGAACAAAGTTGTCCACCTGATTAACATCGCCAAAAACAAATTCTCAAACAGATGAAAAGAGATTTGCTATATTCAATTAACCAATTCGTAATATACAAGAAAATGGAAAGAATAAAGGAAAAGACGAAAATAATATACCAGGAGCATTTTCAGCAGTGCGTGGGTCCCAATATGGGCAAGAGCACTTTTAACTCGATCATTCCCTCCGAGCTCATCTACATAGTGAGAAACACATTCTCCATGCTCGAAAGATTCCACCAAAACAGCAGGGTGGACTAGAGGATATACAGGCTTAGGGAAAGAGACATCCTTCCATGTTCGAAAATTGTATATGAAGCGGCTCAACTGAGCAGCTTCTCGAGCAAGGTCAACTTGTGACATCATGAAAACTCCAAACTGCTGTACGCTTTCATCCAATCTCAACCAATTCAGCGCAGGTATTAAATTGGAAATTCTTGCCACTATATTAATAATCTCGAAATCCTGTTTTATCGATTCCCCGACTCCTGGATGTCTCACCTTAACAGCAACTAGCATTGGCTTGATCTTGCGACCGGGGTACTTGGATCGCAAAGAAGCTCGATGCACTTGAGCAATACTTCCAGATGCAACTGGTTCTTCCTCAAAGTCGTCGAAAATTTCGGAAATTCTACGACCAAAAGCCCTTTCGATAGTCTTTTTCGTGTAGGCAAAGCTATGCTGAGGTGCTTTTGTTTGAAGCTTCGATAACTCGGTGCACAAGTCTCTAGGAAATAGATCCGGACGTGTTGCTGCCCACTGCCCCCATTTTATGAATGCTGGACCTGCTCTTTCCAAAGTTTGATGCACAACTCTAAGCCATAATTTCCTAAACTCGGGTCCGAAACTATCTGCAAATGGAGCCATGGCAAGGCTTGGAGTGAACAACACTGCAAGAAACAAAGTTCTGAGCAGCAAGAAAATGCAATCGCACGTGGAAATGACCAGCCTAGTCAAAAACAGATGGCTATCTTCGGCTCGTAAATATAAATTATTAATCGGATGCATAATATCCGTCTCTGGAACGGCTTTTGCCAATGCTAAGTTCGATCCGCACATCAGAGTAAATATACCAGGAACAACCATGTAAGAACGGCTCAGGCCCAAGCTGACAGCCTTCGCAATCTGGTTTATGGCTGTACGAGTCTGCCCATTAAGTGCAGACATATGTGCCAATCTCTTCCAAGCAATTTGGGCATGATGCGCTACACTATTGCCAGCTGGAACTGCAGAATAAGTCGTGATGCCACTTCTGTAGAACCCTTTTCCAATTTCACGTGTCGCGGTCGAAGCATGTCTACTGCCGGGCAGAAAGTACTGCGAGAACAATCTGCGTTGAGGAGAATATAAAGCGGCTCTGACGATGGAGCCATATTTCAACCCTTCCGAAGAGGCGCTGCTACGTTTCGTCCATAAATACTGCGACTCTCTCTTGATGTTACCGAGTTTCAAGAATCTGTACACTCATAAGTTTTGTCAACTAAATTAGATGGTTGAATTTAATGAAAGAATTCAAATTGCTCAAGTATTCAAACGCCTTTCGATTAATCGAACTCAACAAACAATAGAAACGATTCATCGGATTGCCAACTACATAACCCACAAAAATAAAATAAAAAAACTAAGCAAATAGGGACGAATAGTATAAACATTAAACGGTAAACAATCAAACAGCTCATAATTGAAAAATAAAAAATAAGAATTAAACAACTCCAACAAAAAGAGGAACAAAGAGAGGGCTTTTACGAACCTCGACATGGCGAAAACTGGACCAGATAGAAAAGTGCAGGGACTAAATTGCAAACGAGGCGTACAGCGTTGCCGACGAACATTGTCTAGGGATCAATCAATGCCCAACCATACGGTACACGTACCATTCACGAATTTCACGATTTTTTTTCTTTCGATTTTTATTTTTAATCAACAAAAAACAAATA